CGCATTAGTAGGGGTGAGCATCGAAAACAGATGCCTTAGATCGCAGAGCGCCGAAGGCGCGTCCATAGCGAGTTTGTTTGCCTTTCGGGCAAACAAACTCGCTAGTTTCCTAATATTTACTATCCGGAATTCCTTGCGTTATACTAGAAAAGTACTTACATACCACTTTCCTTGAACTGCCAAACTGCGTTTGACAGTGCCTGATGAGGATCTGTCCATCCGATTTGGAGTGAGCCGATGTCATGTGCAATATGTCCTAATGACATATCTCGATGCTCTCTACAAGATCCTATTTGTGGGAATGATGGATTACGTCCCCAGTGTGAAGAAGAACAGGACTCGACTTCCCAATGCCTTCGCTAGTTTCTCCAACTGCTGAATGACTATCGATTGTACAGAGATCGAAATTGCCGTTCCTAGATTCAGCCTGGAAGCACAAAGAATTACTTACAGTATTTACAAGTCACGCAATACCTTCAAAGTGATGATTGCTGTTGCCCCTCATGGAACCATAACATTCATTAGTGAATGCTATACTGGAAGCATCAGCGATCGAGCGGTGGCGGAAAGGATTGAAGTAGTGGACACCTTTGCCGGGAACCTAATTCTTGTGGACAAAGGCTCCACGACTCACGATTTGCTTCCCAGCGGAATGACACGGAATCTTCCTCCTCATCTCGGGGGGAATACTCAATTCACTCCTGAAGAAGTGGCAGTGACAAGGAAGATCGCCTCTCGTCGAGTCCATGTGGTAAGGGCCATCAAAGAATGCGTGGATATGCTGCGATGGACTACTTCCCCACAAATGTACGTCCCTCAGCAACAAAAATAGTGAGAATAATTGCGTGCTTGGTGAATCTTCAATCTCCCACAATTCAAAGGGAGTCGAGTGAAAAGGTAGGGTGATTTTTATTTCATTGAAATGAAAGAGAATGCATAGAAATAAAAGCTGAGCATTGAGCGGGATAGCTCAATTGTTTACCCCCTAACGCTAGCCACGTGCATCTTGAGGGCGGAAGTAGCGGAGCGTATACTCCCGCATCTAGCCCCGTTTCGGGTACTGCATCGGTAAAAATTTGTGTCTGGGCTTGAAAAGAGGTTTGGTAGACGTACAGAGGACGTGTTTCTGTAGCATCTTTTAACAAGGAGATCCACAAAGGAAGAAGAGATATTTCCCATCCAAGTGCAAAGCACGTGTGTGCATAAATAAGAAAAGAAAGGACTCTTGCTGCATGCATGGTTTTATTCGTTTTTGAACTGATAATCAGTTTCTTCGGACATCATTATTCGATATAGAAATGGACTTCAGCGCAGGTCAGTGGGTCGTCCTCTCCATTGTCTCCAGCCAATATCATCGTTACGATCAAATCCTGGACAGAAATGATAAATGTCCTTCTCAGAGTGGATTTCTTGTAGTAAAGTTAATCTGGATGTTGGAGGCAGGCCGTAGCATGGATAGCGATAAACGATTCACGTTAATGAAGGTTCACTTCCGTTCTTGTTTTAGAGGAGCAGTAGAATACTTAAATAACCCCTTCTCATTTGGGTCTAGGTAAGGTTTCTCTCCCAAGATTCTTCTTGCAACCTGGATTTGCAACTCTGATTTTTTTATATGCATTACTATAAGTTTGTGCACCAAATTTCATCAACATCACTCAATGCCTTCTTGATGCAGCTCTTTTGCATTAGGTTGAGGACAGGCGTTTCCAAAGAACAATCTATCCCCTTCCATCATTCCTTCTCCTCAAAATACCTCAATAGCAGACTGAGGGAAAATCTAAACCTTTCACTTTACCGCGCTGAAAATTGCACGTCATAGGCTTTTTATTAACTTACCCCAGAGACTCCAGGGATGTCGATGATGGTGCCAGAGGTTCTGTAGACGAGATCCTCCCCCGCTTGAATGGGACAATCCCCGGTTACCAAGTCATTGCAGGCATTTTCATCAATACCCAACAGTTCTGTGATATCCAGCTCAATTCCTCCCGCTGTGATCAAAGCATACGGCACCAGCGTCCTGGATTCCACATCTAATACATGCAAAACACAAAATTCCTTTGACCGTTGGAATTTAGCAATTAATTTTCTCTTTGCAAGTTAGATGGAAAGGGAGAATTTTTAAACCTTTGATCCTCTATGCACAAGAAAAGACTTCTGCAAATTGAATGAAAAAACCTTCACTCTCGGTAAGACAAGAAACACACCTCCTAGGTTGTACGCATGATTCAGAAAAATAATGCAGTTTGACGAAAAAAAACTTTACATCCAAGCAGAATCAACATGAGGAAGCCAATAATAATGTTGAGAATCGTTGCAAGAAGATATCGTCCATTTTAGACGTTTGTTTGCCTTTGAACTACAACCCGATCCACCTGATGCGATATGAGTGATTCGGCTAAGAAGAATAGCAAAGCAGCTTCAAGTTCCAGCGAATGAATAATTATTGTTTCTCCTCATTCGGAATCCTTCGCTGAATGCACTTGGAGGAGACAATCAATATCCACAGCAGAAAGTATTCCTAAAGAGAAAAGTCTGGAAACGGTTTATCTACATTTAAACATACTAGATGTGAAGGTGCCGGTGATGGTGAATTGATCTCCGTGCGAGAACACGCATGGAACCCTGGGACAATCGGAAATATCCAGTCCATGATCCGATGCCGATCCACCTAAGATGACATTCACATTCACATAAAACTATGAAATCCAATTGGTGAAGAGAGGAAAAGCGAATGTGATGATACCGCAGTCCACCCATCCTTCGGTGGCGAAAGCGGTGGCAATGGAGCAGAAGAGGAAGATGAAGACCTTCATTCTCCTAGTTCGTCTCGTGAGCGACTGAATTATCAAAGTGAAGCCCTTGTCCTTATATAGGGGAGAAGAAGGCGGATGGGAACAGACTGGTGTTTTTTTTTCTGGGGCCTGGGATTTGACTTACAGGATGAGAGATAAATGCTCACCAACTGACGCAAGTAAAACAGGGTGTCTCGTAAATAGGTACCAATTTTTATTTATTGAATACAACAAGCATACACAACTTTCCTGTTGAAACTTATATAAAGCGGTTAGAGTAATCTTTGAAGTTTTGTTTAGCACTAAACATATACAGCTTTCCTTTCAGTTCCCTTTTTTTCAGAGTGAACCATGGCAGGGTACCTGAGTTTGGAGGAAAGGCGTAAAATAGCGGCATGGATGGAAATTAATGAAAGTGTTGTGGTTGTACAGAGAAAACTCCAAAGTTACTTCCAGAGGCACCCTCCAACACGCAAAACCATTACATAAAATTCAATTTTCTTTGTGAGGTTTCATCAAGGACAGAGTTTATGCCACGCATCCTTGGATAAGCCACGAGATCGCATCACTAGTGCTGTTCAGGGCATATCCCGTGTCATCTGTGCAAAATTTATAGGTAATTTTGTTCAACGTCTCCAGACGTGTATTGAAAGAGAAAGTGGACATTTTCAGCACTAAACAAAACTTCAAAGATTGCTCTAACTATTCCATATAAGTTTCAACTGGAAAGTTGCGTATACTTGTCCGTATACGTTGTTTTTTAAATTCAGAATATAATTTTCCTGAAGTCTACTTTAATGTGCTTCCAGTTGGAAATGCCAGGTAAATTTCATTGAAGTGTAACTTCAACTCCCATGTTTGGATTGAACTTTATATTTATCCGAGGTGTGCGAGATTGTTAGGTGAAATAAAAAGTTAGAAAGAATATTTACACACTTCTGAATCACCCTGCATTCTCCTTCGAGTTGTTGCAGGGTCTAAAAATGTCGTATTTGCCAAGTGTCATTTTTCCCAATTTATGTCCGGGACTCTTTCCTCCTTGTGTTCTATTTCGAGTGTTTTTAGAACCCAATTGACACGTGGAGTTTCGTTATCAACATCGACGCCTGACGGTTTCCCAAGTCTTATTTATTTCATGGATCTCCATCAAATGGGAATTTGGTGAGATTCTCACAACGAGCATTTTTTGCAGAGGGCTTGATGGATAAAGCATTTCGAATATCCTCTTGCCACTTCTAATTCATATCTATCGTACTTTCGTCTCTACTTGAACTTTCGGTGACTTTGTAGACGTTACCACAGCCCTTCACATGTTTCTTTCTTCGATTCACTTTTAGCAAAAATGGTTCAGCTTTTATCCCCCAGAGAGGGTTTCAACTGCAACTCCTATTTATCCTTTGCGGGTTACATATTCGATCTTTTTGATTGATTAATTTTTAAATATTTTTTCTAAGGTTAAATAGAAATTGACATGGATAAACATGTAACCTTTCCAGTTCGTATGTAACCATATTAGTGAGAGGAGTTCCTATAACCCAGGAGTCAGGCCATGTGAGTCATATCAGGATTGACCAAAGTGCTTGTCGGCCAAAAATTTCCAAAACAACAAATTTACCTGATGTTGGTAACAGAAGTTACATTCTTTGACACATGAGGGAAAACCTTAATTTTTAACCATGACTCATGAACAAAACTTTTTGGTTCAGGGGGCCGTAACTAGAAGAGTCTTATTTATTATGACGCTATTATGCTGTTATTAGGAGATTAGAGGATATTTATTAGCGTAACTGGAATGCATAATATTGGACTCAGCGTCCGGTTAGCTAAGGATATAATATCACACTAATAGTCCATTTAAACAACCTTTTAAAATCTGTCGTGGCTGTTCCTAATTATTTTTTCTGAGAAAAACACTTAATCTCGTCAGAATTTGAAAATTTTATTGAAAGCGTCTCACAACACTGTCTCTAAAAGCCTTGGCATGACATGATGCAGATGCATCTGAGCTCCCCAAGTCAACATCATCAGCGACGGTAGCATCTTCCGACTCAATGTCAGGGTCTGGAACTCCGGCTCTTCTGCACATGTTGTGGAGTATCGCACAAGCCACAATTATTTTGCAGCACTTTTCAGGTGCCACTTGCAACGATCCGCATGACTTGAGCAGACACCTGATTCTCGACTTCCAAACCCCAAAACAACGTTGAATGATGCATCTTGTCGGCTTGAGAGCTTTGTGCTTTCTCTCGGAGGAAGAGGGAATCTTTCATTACGGGGGTCAACAAGCATACTTGAAGAGCATAGCCGTTGTCACCAAGCAAATATCCGTTCCCAAAATCCCCATTCTCAAATCGCACTTTGAGGTACCATGTATTCCAGATGAAGCTGTCATGTGTGCTTCCCTGATCACTTGGCAACAATGTTCGTGAAGATAAGATCAGAGTTGCAGATGCCTTCAACGTTGAATGAAAGAATTTTCTGTTCACATGAACCTCCTCATCAGCAGATGGAGCCTTGATGGAAATTTGACTTCCATCAATTACACCAAGGACATTTAGAAGACTAGAAGATTCAGAGATTTAGAAGACAAAGTTGCAAGTTCTTGAGTCCATCAGCAATGCATGGCATTCCGGGAGGAATTGACTCTTCAGAGGGAAGACCACCATCGAAAGAACCTGCCAAAGTTATCTCAAGAAGCTCAGACGATTTTGGAACCGAACTGGGATGACGAAAAAAGCAATGATTTCCGGAAGTGAAGGAATTTTTACGCCTACAGAAGATGATGATATCGATGACCCAATACCTTCATTGGATTTGGCCATAGTCGATGACAGGGCAAACCGTCCTAAAGACGCCAGGAAGAACAAGGGAGCGAGAAGTAAAGCATTCGATCAAGATAATCTTGTCCTCTTGTCACTGGCGGAAACAGAAAAGAAAAGGGAAAAGCTGGAGGCATAGTGGTTGGCAGTCGAGAAGGAACGCCTTCTTGTGGAAAAAGAGAGGTTGAAAATCGAACGAGAGAGATAGGACATTCAAAGGAGCAAATACAGTCGGAAATTACATCCCACATTTAGCGGTGAAACATCTCAGAGTGATGAACCTGTCTATGATGGTTATGCTGTTCATGAAGAATCCGCCTTTGTGTCGAATTTGCTAAATATTTCTTGAAATAAAATCAACCAGTTGTCTTCTATTCCATCATATACAAGTCGCGCTTCTTCGTTTGGTGAGTCTTTATATTTGTGGTTTATATTGAAAATGCCGTGGTCGGGGAATAACGATGAAGAAACCTAAGATATCGTCAAATTTGATACGGATGTTGTTTTTCTCAAATTCAAGGAGCACTTTGGAATAAGTTTTACCTACTTCGCCAAAAATATCATGGAAAGAATTTCAGATTTTCGTAGGAACAATTTTTCTTCGTTTCAATTCAGTCAGAAGACTCGGTAAGAAACCAAAGTCCAGTCTTCAGAATGCAATGAAAGAAGAAACCACAATGGCGAGGATTATGAAATCAGCGCTATTATCGCTCTATTAGAGGTCCTGACCTATAATAAGAATCAGTTAAATTTTCAACTATTAGGAATCAAAAAGCCGTTCCAGTTAGGCTAATAAATTCCTATTATGTAGATATTATACGGTTAGGCTCTATTAGGCTTTCTAGTTACGACCCCCTGGCTTCCGAGTAAAACCGGGGAGAGGAGTGATCGAGTCCGTGTGGCGGCGGGTTCTTTACCAGGCTCGACCCACCTGCTTTCGTGGGGAATGTCTGCTTAGCAAGAGATAACACACACGCCACTCTGTGTGCCACGCCCAGGAAATACGGGTGTAGTACACCTTAAAAACAATTCGTGTCAGTGATGGGTGTAGGCACCCCATGAGCTGCCCCTAAGGCAGTAGGGCCGCAGGACCGTAGAAGGACAGGACCGTAGAGAAGGGGTGGGCAAACTACGGCCCACGACAGCATTTCGACCGGCCCGCCAGCTGTTGCCGTGCAGAAACGACATGCGGCCCACGATGACAGGTCCCCTCCTAGCACGACTATTTGGACTCCTCCAAGGATCAATTAATCAAATATACGGACTGTCCAGTTTGCAGTGCAGTGAAGCGAACAGCTCTACACTGTTGCCACATGTAGGAAAATTACCTCCGGGATATAGAGGAAAAATTAAACCTAACAGCCATAACCAGTAGGATCTTGCTCTTTGATAAAACTGCCAATTGTTTGCTACGCAGGCAAGGTCGAGCAAACAATTGACAGTATTGCCCTGGCTCATATTTGTCCGTGCGTCTGAACTACTATAGTTGCTTCATGCTGATTTGTATTCCTGACTTTTGTGACTTTTCGGGTGACATGCACCAGATCCGTTTAGCTTTAACCTGCTTCGTTTTCATAATGGGCATCTATGGGAATAAGGTTATCTCGGTTAAACTGATTCCCATAGGGAACTATTGGGAGATCAGAGTAGTTTAGCTTAAACGGATTCGGTACATGTCACCCTTCGAACATATTTACCGTTGCAATATGAGTGACTTCGAGAAAAGTAAAGTTGACAGTGGATGTTGAATCTTCAATAATGAGTGGACGACGAAGTATTTCTTCACGGACGTGGATACAAATGCGGTTTGCTTGATTTGCCACCAGGGCGTCGCAATTTTCAAGGAGTACAATGGTGCGTCGCAGCGAAGAGATTGGTGCAGATTCGGCAGCACAGTTACGTAAGAAAGCAGATTCTTTCGTGAGGTACTCTATGACGCTGGATGATAGCACAGACAACTCAGCTACTCGTTTTCGTAAGAGGCACCAATGACACGTTTGAAATCACTGATGAATTGCTGTTTATGGAATCTCAACAACAGGACAAGATCTTTTTGGTAAGAGTGGAGAACTGCATCGAAAGACTGAAGTTGCCTCAGGAAAATTCGACTAGTGTCACAACAGACAGGTCTCCCAGTTTAACTGGTTAAAACGTTGGAATTTTGAAAAGAATTGAAGAGAAAGTCAAAGAGACGAATCAAGATCATATTTACTGTTTCTTCATTGCATCAGTCACCTTGAGGTGCTTTGTAAAATTGTTCCGGATTTGAAGCATGCGGTAAG